GCAGACCAGAAGCCTAGATTCCAGGACTCAAACGTGGAAAGTATATTTTATAAAACAACCAGCTTGCAAGTTCTATAGCTCTCCTCTACATGCAAACGCTTGCTCTGACCGTCGTCACCTACTCTTACGTATGAGATTCGTAGCCAGATTTCAGACGAACCCCCGAAAGGCCTTTGAACTGTCCTCGAGATTGTACCTGGCTATCCGTGAATCGACCGTCTGCAACCACCCAATTCTTTTCTTCAGCATGCTCCAAGATGCGCTTTTTCAGCGCCGTTGCCGACAGAGAGCTTGTCAGATCTTCTTCCTTCAACCAAGCTCGGAACACCTCTCCGAGCCGTTCGCCAACGGCTAAGTGCCATGTCGCTCTTTCTCCGGCTTGAATATCTTCGAAGTCGAGACAATCGACGATCCATCGCCTAGCAATGTCCGAATCGTTGATGTATGCTTTAACAGCTTCCTCCATGACACGAGGTCTGCGCATTAGTGGTAGCGTGTTGGGATTCGCTCGCTTGAATTCATGATAACGTTTTGCTCCCTCTGTGTACCAAGAAAGACCCTCATCTCGACCTTGGTCGCTTTTCAAGTAGGTTTCCAATGTTGTATCGATAAGCTTTTGGCGTGGTTTGCTAGAGTCAAGCTTTTCGGGAGGTAAGAAAGTGACCAACATCGGGAGTAGTGCCAAGCGTCGGGTGACACAGTAGGATACGTTCTGAAGAATAGGCTTGTAGTTCGTGTTGAGGACGGTTTTCACAGTAAGCTCAAATGTCTCCTGCCTGCTATGCAGCTCGCGCCCTGTAGTGGTCCCCCCGCTTGATAGGGCTTTCATTGCGGCTTCATTCAAGACTGCTTTCTCTCCCGACTCGTCGGTCTCCGCGAGACGCCCGCCTCGAAGAGCCATGATGTGGCTCGAAGCCGCGCCAGCCGACCGCTTACCGGCTTCAATGATGCAGTCTTCCGACATAACGACAGCGTAACTGCCTAGAACTTCGAGACTTGCCAGCTTTGTCAACGATTTTCCATTAGCTCCATTGCCTTGCTTGACAAGGAACAATTGTTCACTCATATCTGCGGTCATACAATAGCCGCAGAAGAGCTGATACCATTCGAGTACTTCTCTGTCATCGTTGAAACAATCAAGCAGGAACCTCTCGAATCGGCTTTCGGCCTTGGGCATTCCACGAAAAGTTGCTTTCGATGCGCGCGAACACAAATGAGCAGGATGAAATGCGAGCAACTTTCCGCTCTCGGTGTTAATGACGCCGTTCTGACAGGCAAACAGGAACGGATTGGCGATATCAATCATCTCGCTGAGAGGTTGGGGAGCCTGCAAGGAGTTCACGACAAATTCAAGACATACACGAACCTCGGATCCCCGTGTCAGATCCACCACATCTCGCTTCGTTGGGAAAGGATACGTTTTGTTGACCACCCTCCACGCAGTGCTGCATGCTTTTCTTTCTTCTTCGGTTGTTGGGTTCAATGCCCAATCTGGAAGAACTGGTTCTGGCGTTGATAAGACGTTCTGCTCTGTTGCAGAGCCTCTCATATGTGCGCAAATCTCCCGTTTGAAAGCATTCAATCTCTGTTTCGAATACCAGGTCATGATACGAGCCATGTGGTTGCTGAAGACGGTTTGTATATGGAACGCGTTATCGACTATCCATCTGCGGCCGTTCCAATAGTGAAAGCATTTGCCCTCAGCAATGATGCGTCCGTCGACGAGATACATGGCTGAGAAGATCGCAGCCATTCCTCGATAGCGCTGCGTCACATTACGCCGAATAAGATTCATTTGTGCTTCCACGGCATCCTGCGACAGCGTTCTCATATTGTTTGGAAAGGTACTCCAGTCATGAGTTGGGTGCAAACGTACAGGATTGGCATCCAACAACGACACTGGTATTGGAATATTGCCGAGCTCCGTGAGAGGCTTCTCCTTGCATTCAGAGCCAAAGCATCGATAGAATATCGTCCATCCTCGCTTCACGAGCGTCAGGTTGTTGCTACCAGTGTGGTGATGACCATGTATGCAGGTTCGAGGACCATGACAGATGAACGAATAGAGCATACCATATGGACCACGGGAGGTCACGCTGCCAGAAAAGCGAACATTTGCGTCGAGTCCAGCGTCCTGTAACAACTGCATCATCGCATCAGCAATCTTCTCGTGCTCGAGTGCTTGTCTATTGTGTGTGTCATTGGTACCCACTTCCATTTGCATTGCTTCTTCGACAGTGCTTGATTCAAGCCCCCTTGTTTGCTCGGAATCAACACCGTTTGCCGGCAAATCTTGGGTTCGATCGCTCGAAGTCGACACGAAACTCTTGTTTGCAGATCTCCCAGCAAAATCGTTGAGGAATTGGATCACCCATGATGGAGCTGGTCGGATGTTTGTCCTTAAGGGTTGTGCGCACCAGGTGTAATTCAATCCAATCTCAGGTGAGCCTGGCGGGGCCAGAACGATGCCTCCATCTCCACGGCCATCGATCCCGAAATACTGACCCTCATAGTCCACTCCAGCAAAACACTTTCCTGATTGGAGTCCGTTTTTGAGTGATCCACCATACGAGAAGTAATAATGGAGCCCCCCGCTTGCAGAAATGGCCTTTAGAGTATCTGGATCTCCGTGTTCCGCAATCAATCTATTCCAGAGAGGCATGCCAGCTTGAAGATCTTTCTCTGGTTTGTCTCGTGTGTCTATGTCAAGCACGAAGATGTCCGAAATGGCTCCCGTCTTGATTGCCAAGAAGTTGTATCGTTCTATTTCAATCTTTTCCATGATGCGATCCCGCGCCAAACTCCAATCCGACGCCGTTCTTATTGCGTGATTGCCCTTCGTATGCGGCATAGTTCCAAGAATCTCCTTCGATCCTTTGCCCGTCGCTCTAACTTTTGCGGGAACAGCATATAGTCCCTCTCTTGCATACGCGTCTAAGACGTGCGCAATCGAATCCGTTGCCATGCTTTTCCACAGACCGAAGGAGGTTCGGAGCCCCCTTATATTTTCAACCCCAGAAAATTTTGTTTGACATGGAACGCGGCACTCGACGGAGCCCACGCTTGCAGAGACGTGTTGGTTAGTACGACTAAATCCAAGGAAGAGCAATCTGTGCCTCATAAAGTCGCTGCCTCGTCCGTCTACTTGTCTTGCTTCCTTTCGCAATTCGTTCAAGAGCCTTCTTCAAGAGAATCTCATCCTTGTGTACTTGATAGTAACTCTTTGAATATTCTCTTTTCTTCGCCTGATGCTCGTTCTTATAGATGCTCGCCTCCAAACAAGCAGCACACGCGGTCGATCCATGATTGTGATTCGTCGATTCCATAGTTGGAGTGCAATTGAAGCCTCCTAATAATTCTAATATAGAAAAAGTGCTTCTCAAAGAACGCACACAAAGTGCAGACAGAAGACAATTGTCCACTCATTCGAATCGTCTATTATAGAGTTCATCTGCAGTCCGCATGCTATGGCCCATGTATTGGGCCTTCGCTCTCACTTCACCACGGGACATCAACTTTGGGCTCTGTTCAGTATGTGAGATGTGTCGAAGCAAAGTGCAGCTGAGGTTTCTACCGAAATGGCGTTGACCAAGGTCGTTGAGAACTACGGTGAAATTTGATATCGGTTCATCTTTCCAGACGAGATAATGCCTCTTGAGGATCAAATGTTTTCTAGGAATCAGATTGAAGGATCTGAGTATAACCTTCACGAGATCTTCGGGGATCTCAAGGCGACGAACTCCATCCTTTTCAAGAGTCTTGTGTCGACCAATATGAAAGAAACACTTCTTGGGATCGTCGTTCAACTCGACGACGTTGATGTCACCCGGTTTGACCGCAACGCAATCATTCTCGTGTTCCCTCATGAAGAAGATGCATTCCGCGTACTCATTCCGTAAAGGTCCCAGCGGCATCGTGTAGAGTGCGAGGATCAGATGGTCTATCACCAGCTGCTTGTCATGGCGATCTAAGCGTTCCTTCTTCAGGAATCTCGGCACGACATAGCGATTGATTTGGTCGTCCAGTTCTGATCGCTTGTCTATAAGCTCGGACCAAGGAATCCAATTGTTGACTTCTTTTGGCGTCTTTCTCTGCATAGAGTGATCGAGCTCCTCCTCGGTTGGCTTCATCCTCTGCATGTACTTCGAGTAAGCCGATTGCGACTTTCCAGAAGCAAGAATAGCGAAAGGGGCTGCATAATTACTCTTCGTCAATGATTTAAGGAGCTTGCCATCACGCGACGTGAGACTCTCTATGGTCGAAATCACCTGCTCGTGGTCCTCGATCCAGTCGAGACTGTTCATCACGCCCGGCCCAAAGTCTCCAGCCGCATATACGGTTTTAAGTTGCCTGATGTAAACAGACACTGTTGTATCTGATCTGTTTGGCGGAGCTCCACGGAGAACCTTATCCGGAGATTGGACCTTCAGTTTTCTGCGTACCTCTGCTTCGAAGTTGGAATCCATCGCCGTGAAACTGCCTCGTTGTTACTAATCTTCACAGATATTTTTTGTAAGATACGAACGTATCAGAGTCGATCTGGATTGAAGCGCTTTCCATTGTACTGGATCTTGCTCAGGAACATGGACCAGTTACTAGCAGACATAGCCGTCTGCGGCTGAGTGATCGAAGTCAAGAAGTGATCTCGAGGTATCAATCGCAGGGTCCGATGAAGATACTTGCTCAGCATCTTCGATAGAGGGATTCGATCCCCATCTTTGAAGACGAGTTTGTAATCTCCCTTGCGTCGTGAGGTCTGCAGCAAATAGCTCGCACCCTCGATCTGTTGGCCCTTCGGCATGATTGGAAGCTCGTGCACTTTTACCCGACGACGATGCTCCTTACTCAAGAGCATATGCCATTCGAGGACGAGATGCCACATACAGAGCTTCACCTCCTTAGGAGTGAGATCTCGATCCATGTCCTCGAGACTCAACTGTCTGACCTTGCGAGCGAGCTTCTTTCCGAATGTCTCGATCTCTTCAACGGTCATCTCTGATCTGGCGTCCAAGGTCTTGGTCTCAATCTTTCGTTGAGCGGACTCCTTTAGGGCCTTGTTTTCCTTCCGAAACGGCTCATAATAAGTTTGATAAGCCTCCACATAACCGAGTTTGCGGCAAATAGCAAGAAAAGGGGCCAAACGAGTACGCCTGGATCCAGGGTTATCATAGCGCTCTAGAACAGCTGCGACGATCTTCTGAGCCTTGGTCTTTATCCACGAGGGGTCTTCGGGCATCTTATCCTGGAACATCATGTTCCATAGAAGCTGAATCCCCTTGAGATACTGCTCAGTGGAACTTTCGGTTCTGATCCCATCAGCTAAGACCTTTCGTAGGGTATCCATAGTTATGACCTGCCTACGATGATGTAAGAAAATAATTTTATAACGTCTCCCATTTTGCAACAAGTTATTTAAAAAAGGTTCGTCACAATAAAATGACGTCGAAACCTCTCCTAAACGTTTATTTTCTTGAAACTGCGTGCGGGGGGCGGAAAATTGTTGAGAAATCTCGAGATTTTTCAAGAGAATAACTAGTTATTTCAATAGCACGTGACACTTTTTTGCTGGCCTCTCCACATGCGCTTCATTCCACTAACTCTGCTTGTGGTGGAGGCAATTTTGAAATCATCATACAGCAGAGCAAAAGACGTCGTACATAAGGCCAGGCTCCAAACCAGATGATTTCATGAAGCATGGAGCTAGGATCATGTTTTATCTGCAGGCCAGCATTTTAGTATATACCTAATGTAGATAGTAGATATTTCTCATCAGGTAGCTTTGGCGCGTGTGCTGCTTCCTCGAAGCTCTTTCCACACAGACACACGTTCTCCTCTGTCCGATGCTTCTGCTTTTCACAAGCTTCTTCAAAGGCGGCATAATCCACAAGTCTTTATTCCGCTCAGAGGTGAGAAATTGGTGTTGCTGCTTTTTGACTGCTTGCAGATAAGGTTATTTTCATGAAAGCTACATTCTTCCTCCTTCTCCATTCTTTCTTGTTTTCGAATCTTGTCTTTCTGAGAATTTTTGAACAATCTGTTTCGATCCGCATTGTGTTGCTTTCCATAATGTCCGAGCTGCTATTGCAAGTTTGGACATCTGGTTCCGTTGATGGAAATAAGTTGTCACAAAAGCCAACACAATGCTGATGCTTAATATTGTTCAGCAGGCTCTTTTCAAAATGCTTATTAAGCCTCAAGGTCAAACATGCCTATGTGCAGAAGGGGGTCCTGCAGCCTTAACTACCTGCAAGGCAGGCGGCTTAGAATGCATGTCAGCAAAAATTTTTACTACCATACTCTGAATGCTTGCTTTGCTTGACTGTTCTGCTTCCTCGCCGTAGAGCAGCTGGTGAAAATCGTAGATTGATACGGCCCCGACACGCTCCCTGTAAATTGCCGATCGGATGCCTTTCGTAGAAAGGCGTCAGAACCGTAGCATTGAGGCTCTCGCACCTCAAGCTCGAAGAGAAGAGCGTTGGCGGCCCTCTTGAGCGCAATTCCACGATGTTCCGCATAGACCATGCTAAGATCTCCTGAGTTGCCCAGAGACCGAAGCCTCTCACACTCCAAGGCCCACAGATGCTCCGTAGCATCAAGGAGCGTCGACAGAGGGGACCGACCGGAGGCGCTAGGGCAGTTGGCACTCGGTTCCAAGCAGAGGAGGTTGGTCGCGTAGATGTCCCGAAGGAGCGGACGCAGTGCTGCTGCAAAGGCGTACAGTCGAGGACCCGTTTGCACTTCACCAATTGCGTGCAGCCGGAGAATGGCTGCTAGAATCGGCCCATTGTTGGCGAGGTAAGCAAGTCCTCGCTCGTCAACTGGCCCCTCGAGCAACAGGTGTCGAAGCAGCTTTAGCGTCAAGATGTTGCCAAACACCCACCTGTAGCGGGGTATCAGGAGGGCGTGCAGGAGGGCCGTGTATGGCTTGAAATGGGTCGGGCACCAACCCGTGGGCGCCACAGGGCCCCCCTTCAGCACCCCGTCCATCCACGGTCGACGCGCGACCATCCAGACCGCACAAGTCTTAGGGTCGGCGCAAATCGCGGATTCCGTCGCAAGGTCGATCGGGGTCCCCACGTTTGCCGGCAACCTCTGACGCATGGCCACAAATACCTCCGCCAAGAGAGGCGTGTTTGACCCTTGAGCAGGCGCCTTGCGAAAAGTTGCACCCTCGGAGGCCGCAGCTCGTACGGCCGGCTTCAGCTCAGACAACCCGTTCCTGAACTTCCAAGGGCAGTCGATACCCTCAAGCGGGTCGTTTGAAGGCCGCACCCCACTGATGCTGAAAGGAGTGAAACCCCCTGCCACGTGAGGTGCCTCTGGGTCCGGCTCGCAGATGCTATGCAACGTGGCTTCCGTGCTGTCCCGCATAGCACTTGAGTTGGGAAAAACGTCCCGTCAAAGTGACAACTTTGTCGCGACTGAACATACAAATTGCCAGATTTGAGGTGGACCCCTCGGTTCGCTCCGGTTTGAGAGGGCAACTAGCTCTCTCTGCCTCAGCCTCGGCAGCTTGCACCTCAGACGTGTACAGATGAGCACAATTGGGACGTCCGCAGACGTGCTGGATCCGAGACCGGGCTGCCAAGTCGTTGAAGGCTTGCATCGCTACGTCGAAGACGCAATCGTCTAGCATAAGAGCGTCCGGCCCTTCGAGACTCATGGTTGCCATGTTGTTGGCGTCAAAGTTGAGGCTGTATGATGCTCCAAGGGCCGCCGCAAAGTGATTGCGCAGCAAGAGGCCGTGCGAAATGAGCCGCCATGTCGGAGAAGTTGAATATGCCATCTTCCTGTTCAAGAATGGAACATGGACATGATGCATTCGAATGGAACTCCTCAAAAATTTATAGAATATATGAGCAATTAAGATATGGAATCAAATGAGAGGTTTGCATCTGTTCTGAGCATCTGTGCAAGAATGGACAACTCGCCCTTGGTGGAATAGCAGCCTCCGCGTCAACCAGCAAAGAAACTCAAGCCGCTGATGGAAGTTTGATGGATGAATTTCTGGTCCCGTCGAATGGTGCACCCGGCCCACGGACATTTCTCATGGTTCCTCCTCAGCCTTGCCGACTCTGCGGCCTTCAGTTCACCATCCTACAATGGCCGATGTCTCCCAATGTGGGCTCGTGGTTTGCAAGAAGTGCCTCCATGCACGGTAGGAATCACACCCTCAGCCTACCGACTAGAAGAATGCTGTCATCCCATTGGTCCACCATATTCCCCTGGTAGGGTCTAGAAATTGTACGTAAAGAGAAGGGCTTTAATCACTTTAAGTAGTCCGGAACTGCCTCAAGACTCAAGGGTAAAGGACGTGACCCTAGCCTTTAAGTACCGGAGCCACTCCGTACGCCACGCGCGCTGCTCGCGCACATTCGCAAGGGCATGTGCCAATCCTAGTATGCTACCATGGCTACGTTGAAATTAACCGTCGGGCGAATACGGCGGACTCTTCCCGTGACTCTAACTACGGTGTCTTCCCCCCGGGCTCTTTCAGCCCCGAAATGTTTAGAGCAAGTGCCCGGTAAAACCGATTGCCCTGTAGTAGCAGTTTTAGTTGCTTTCGATTGCACTAACTAATTTCATGCCACAATGGTCGTCGCGGCGATGGCGATTTCCGTCCAAGTAGCGCACTCCTCGGATGATAGGGGTCTCGACTTGGTGCCGTAGCCATTGCTGTGCCCTGTGGCAGGTTCGGAGCTTTCCTACACGGCGATCTGGCCGCCGCCCCTTTGCTCCAAGTCTCTCGACTCTCGGAAACGACGCGAGCTGCGCGCGCACTCGCGCCACGATTTCAACAACAGCACCAACCGTGCACAGAACTTCACGTGCACCAAATTTCACGGCGGAACGACAAAGTGATGCAGTCCACATCTTATTATACTCGGAAGCGAAGTTTTCCCGTGTCATATGGAGGGTGCCTCGGATCCCGGAAGGTATGGGTGGGGAGAGAGGGCGCGACAACACTACGGTAGCCCGGTTCCAAAAAGCGCAGTTCATTTTGCCCGGGGCCGCAAAGTCCGGGGCCTGTGCATCGAGCGGTGCCACGTAAAATGTACGGACTCGCGCTGACCAATGGGAAGTAGGGACCCAATATACCACGTGGTATACAGTCTGACATAGCGGTACCCGGCATTGAGCCAGCGGTACTGCCTGGGTACTACCTGGTAGCTACTCAGTACCCACCAGGCACGGGCAAATTTCAAGCAGGGAATTACTCACCTACGGTTCAACTTACCGGTACTGCCTAAGCTACCCTACCTTAGACCTACCTACCTACGGTCTGAATCAAGCTAGAGGCTAGGCTGGCCGGGGTTATTTTCCGCCGGTCACCTGCCAGGGGGACGCAAGGTTTAGGTAAGCTCCCGGGGCTGCGGTTTCCCGGTCTGGAGAGCCTAGCCTACCTAGGTTGCCTTGCTAGCCTAGCTACTGTCAGTGGTACCCGTAGCTACGGCTCGTTTGTGAGGTACGGCTCGACGGTTTACTCGACTCGCAGTTTGAAATTTTCGTGACCGTTCCAGGCCTACCGGGCACACTGCCAGTCACGCGGGGGACTCCACTTGCAGCGCGGGACTGAACCGAATGTGTGCGGCATGAGACCATGAAAACTTAACACAGTAAGTGAATATTGGCAGGCGCTGCGGGCCTTGAGCCATACCTGCGTTAAAAGTAAAAAGTTGAAATGCCGACTGGCGGTACGTATGGTCTGATTTGCAGCTTCAGACTTGGAATACGGTGAATTGCCGTGAGTCGCGGTACCCTACTGATTTGAGCTAGCGGTACCCGCGGTACCCGACCCAGGTTCCCAACAGTCCGGGGCTGCGGGTGCACGTGGTCTGACAATTCTGCCCAGCGGAAGGTCCAAGCTGAGGGCCCGGGCTTTGCCGGGACCTTGAAAGGGCCGAGTTAAAGTGCGCTTTTTGACAACTTGATGGTCAATGTAGTGCAAAAGAAGTCACTAGCAGAATGAGCAGCAGGACGATCCCGGGGTGGTATGAAACCGGGGGAAAATACCGCACTCGCGAAATCACCAGCGGGAAAAAAACCCCTTCTCTGTAATATATGTAATTGAATATTTATGACGAAGATTTGAATATATACTAATTTATATCTATATTATTAACGCAAGGTTATAACATGCTAAGCAACCCTGCGGTTCTGGTTATGGCCGTGCTCCTTCAGAGTCCCATAACTTATAAGGGTGAAATTCACGTTAATGTGGTACGTACCGTATCAGACGTACCTGTTGAGACTAACGTGGCGGGCGGCGAGCAAGGCATTCCGTACGCGGCGCCTAACTTCGAGTGCTGATGTCAACAAGAGGCTCAAGACTTCTGAGACGACTGCCCTGCAACAACAACAATCGGTATGAGGTTTTAAAAAGCTTCCTGCCTGTTTAGATCCAGCTGCTATTTCCTACACCAGCGACACAAATATGGCGCAGGTGCCATTGGTCCTGATGATCTTAGCCATCCTTCTGACCTGCATTGCCTTCGTCTTGCTTGTAGGTGCAGTGATTAGAGGCTTCATATACAGGAACAGAATCCTGATTGATGTAAGAGCTCTAATTCACACTTTGGAGTTTGAGGCGGAGTCAAAGAGGAATTTGGAAACAGGACTAATCGGCGCAGACTTGCGGCTCAGATCGCGAGGTTTTGCATTAGTGAAGGATCTGTCGGATCCAGTAAGTGATGCGGCCAGTGAGGGTCCTAATCTGCATGAAGCAGACACTGGGGACAAGAAGGGCAAGAGAAAGGTCGAGGAAATTTGTGGGTGTCCATCAGGAGGGCGGGCAAGCAGCTCGAGCAGTGAAGCTGTGGGGCTGGCAAGCCAGCAGGAGGAGCAGCCTGCCAGCATGGATGAGGAGTGCGCAGAAGATGCAAAGGAAAGGGGCTTCCAGTCCAGGTTGATTTTTGACGACAAGGAGGTTGAAGAGGTCAAGGAGCCGGCCTTTATAAGTGCTCGCGGCGCCGTAGTAAGCACTAGCTGCGACTATTACCTCGGAACTCGCCACAAAGAGCCAGCTTTCGGGTGCAAAGTTGTAAAGATGCATCCAATCTCTCCACACTTGAGGGCCAAAGTGTCTACAGCTGAAGCAGCTCAGAGTCAACCGGAATCCGGTGTCTCTCAAACAGTTGAAATGACTGAGATACCTGATCAAGTAGCGTTCTCAGTCGAAAGCTGGGAAGGTGACAAGACACCCAAAGGCAGTTCCCTTGAACCAATTGGATTCTTTAGATCGGACTCCACAGCTCCCAGTGCTGAGAGTACTGTTGGCAGCACATCAGCAGCCAGTCATGTGGAAAGCACGGTGGACCTGGAGACGGCATTCATTGGAGGGGTTAAAACCAAAACTCATGAGGAGCCCGACTCGATTTTGGATTTGAGTGAGGGTACCCGGTACCTCAGTATCCAAGCTTCAAAGCTGAACATTGAGTCATACAACTACAGGATTCTGCACCACTTGGCAGACGTATTGAGTCTTTTGTTGACGGTGATGTTATTAGATGTGCGAAGGACGCACGCGCACCACGGGGTGGTGACTTTCGCCGTGTCCTTGCACTTTGCCATGTGGTTCGCGGGGCGGCTGCTGTTCATGCTTCTGTTCCCTTGGCTAGAGTTATATGGGGCTGTAGATGCTTTGAATGCAGTGTGCCAGCGCAATGGCATAGTGTACAAACGGGAGAGGAGGAGAGCACGTTATAACAAGCATAACGCCACTGGACAGAGCGTTGAAAGTTTGGGTGTGGTAGATAGGGGGGCAACATGGCATACTTTGTTGTGGTTAGCTCCTCCAGGTGATAAGCTGAGGCACTCTACTTGGAGCAAGCATACAGGACTGGGATTGCAATATAGTGAAGCTGCTGCAACCCATGCAGAGTCTTTGGAACACCTCGCCAAAGCAACGGGATCAATGTACACCATCTGTGGGACTTATGCACTGGGGATCATTGCTGGGGCCATGACGCTCGCAGTGGTCAAAGATTCTGCTGTAGCTATACCAGCCACGGTCCTGGCATTCATCATTGCGTTGCTCGGAACGGAGGTCACTCTGACTGCGGCTCGCGCGGTTGAGTTCGCAAGCTCGGTAATCAAAGCAAAGAGGGCGGTAGACATTCTGGCTGACATCAACAACAACGCGTGCATAATTGAAAGAGCAAGCCTTAAGAGGTATGTGGCCAGAATAGGCAAGTATGGCGGGATAAGGTTAATTTATGGAATGCTCAGAAGGGAGGTGATGCCTCTCATACGGGCTTGTGGCTATAAGCCCAACACGGTTGTTCTGATTTTCTTGAAAAGGAATGCCGAGCTGTTTGTCCCGATGAAGGTGACTCCTACCCACAGGAAGCCAGCTAGGCGTTGGCCCGTAGCTGCATCCCCCTGAACAAGTAATATCATAGATCGGACACTTTTTGGAATCTTAATAGTGTGCAGGCTGCACAGTAAGTTGGTATTAACTGTTGGGATGGCGCAAGGTGCAGAACTACAAAGTACGTTGTGCATGATAATTTTTGCAACTTTTGCAACACATAAGCGAAAGCAATCTGTTTGCGAGCTTGACAATATCCTCCGACAATTTTATATGTGGGCATGCGTTCCGTGATTGATGGAATCTATGGCGCTCTCACTGCGAGTTCCAGGTTGTAGGTGCTCGGGAGCACAGCAAGCTTTGTTTGAGCATAGGTGCCGAACCACATGACCTTTCTCCACAGCCTTTTCAAGCTTGATCTCGCAACATCAAGTACAGCGAGTACATGCGTAAGCAAATCTCTGATGTATGCAGATATTCTACCATAGCCATCAGTACCCTTGAAGCCAGTCCAGATGTGGCATGGAGTGTCAACGGCCTAGCTGGCAGATGGGGTACTCTTCAGCTTCTGCTCCAGACGATGGAGCGCTTCCGTATACATCTCCCGGGTCCGGACACGACCCTATGCTCTTGCACGATTTCATCTTTGCTTATCCTGTCGTCTTTCTGTGGGAGGACCGACCTTTAGATATGACCAGCTTGCACCACTATCAATGTCTCGGACGATACGAGAGATACGCCAAACCGTTCAGCCCTCTGGTTACGTGTCTCGTGACCTGCTGTCGTGGTGCTTGACTTTGAGGCTTTGATCTTTCGGGCTAGCTCCTCTGTAATCAAAGACTTATGGTGTTCCGCACCCCTGCGTATCGTTCCATTGGCAATCTTGTCTTCGTAATAATCCTCTGATTGGGTCCCATACACCAAGTGACTCGGCTCGAAACAGAGGGGCTGAAAACAAAGGTGTCTGATGACCATCCTGACACCATCTTTGTCGCAATAAGGAGGAGGATAAATCAAGTCGTTACGTAGCATGTACGCGGCCCTGTGCCTCTGTAGTCTGTGACCGCCAAGCGTCACTGTGTTTGCTGTTTTAGCCACCAAACAACCATTTGGTAGACGGACTCCATGTCCCTTCAATCGAGTCCAGGCAGCTTCGCGGTTAAACCTGCCCTTTTTAGGCACCCTCTGTAGGTGCTCAATGTTGACACAAGAATTGTTCCCACAAGACCTCTGACAGGCATGGAACTCGTCGATGAGTTCGTCAGGGTGATGGAGGTCCCAAAGGAAACGGTGTACACTGACAACCCGAGTGTCCTTCTGGGGCGTTACACCAACACGGCACGATGCACCAGTTGTGTTCCCATTCCAAGGGAAACAACCATTTTCATCAGTTGGACCTGTTCTGGCTTTCAATGCCGTGAAGAAAGTTGAGTTCCAGTCCGCCATGCTCTGGCTCCTGCTTCTCAGGTAGAAACTAAACAACAATGGGTAAACGCAGACCATATGAAAGGATCCTAGCCAAATGCACTTGAATTGCTGAGTCGTTTAAATCATGCGAGGCTGAGGATGGTGGACAACATGGTCTGTTTATCTATTGGCTTCCGACAGTAACAGTTCATCTCCACCTCGCGACACTTGATCGCATCGTTCTCCATGGCGTGTGCGTTTAACGCAACTATAGGAATGCGGCCCGGCAATGCTCCTTCCGCTTCCAGCTGACGGATCTGCCTCGTAGCCTCATAACCGTCCAAGCGGGGTATCTGCAAGTTCATGAGTATTATATCGTAATCGAAAGGCCGTTCGCAGTAGATATCCAAAGCCACCTTTCCGTCTTCCGACATCGTGGCTCTGGCTCCCTCCTTGAGCAGGAATCGCTCCAGGATCTTGCTGATGCGTCGCGTATCCTCGGCCACCAACACGTGGATGCCTTGCAACGGAATCTCGTCGTTCTTCATGGTCTCGCTCACGACCTCCGACCTCCTGATGGACGCGGATGGCACATCTAATTCTAACCAGAACCTCAGTCTTGAAGACCCATATGAACCCACGGCACGCCGGGCTCATATTGGGCTACTGCTCTACCTCTATCCCTTGCACGATCCTGTCCGCATCTCTTGTCTTCTGCAAAGACAAGATGCAAAGACCTCGGATGGTCGAATGCTACATCTATCCTGTCGGATTCCAGGTACTTTGGGACACTCTGTATCCGGGTTATTATTATTGAAAAACAAAAGATCTCTATCCATCCCGGAAGTAGTACGGATTTTTAAACAAAAGCGCCTCTGATAGCAGAGATCATATTGCTTCAACAACGCCCGGGCGAGATCGAGGATTCGTTTCCATTGCTGCGGGTTCCTGAAGATTTTATGGACAATAGAACAATCGACTACATCATCAACCAGAAGCCTCTTCTGCTCGACGACATACGTGTGATGCTCCGTGGAGGTCCACTCTGCCGCATCTCAAACAATTCGAGGCCTCGTAACAGCGTACCATAGCGAGGAGCTGGTGTTACTTATATTGATGATGAGAAAGACTTTGAGAGGGTCCAAAGGAACTACTAGAAGAGTTAAGTTGGAAAATCGGTCACATTTGGCGGGCAACACCAGTGGTTCCAAGGACATCCATGATCTAACGCTCAATACAGAAGTTCGAGATCGTTGCACCTAATTGCTTCTATTATAATTGATTATAATAGATAATATGCATATATATAATTTGCATATGCCCCCCATATGCAAATTGAGCAAAGAGGCATCCTAAATCGATCAGTTGCTGATCCATTTTCTCAATCAAGTAGAGGCCAGTGTATCCACCGACATGCTAGGAGCGTTTCCTGAGAGAAGAAGACAGACAAACAAATATTGTCTACTAGAGCAGGATGGAAACAGAAGAGCAGAAGTCTGAAGTAGCTTGACGGGGGCTCAGCTAAACTCCGTTTGCTCCTCTCTTGGATTTTAACTAGCTTAAATCCATATGAGAAAGATTATGACCGCATGCTTTTGTGCATGTTGCATGTCAATAAAGTGTCCAAATCTCCTCCTGCATCCTGAACAAGATCCAACGTTCATGTAGTCATTGACATGCCAGGCTCGAATGGGGCATGCGCATGTGGCATAATCCAACAATTTGCCTGTCAGACGTCCACAATTGCGAAACTTTTCTACCCAAAAACAATATGCAATGGTCCCATGCTTTATGCATAAAAACGATTGGCTGCTGTTCGACTTGTAGACACGGATCGTCGTTACGATATGCGTCATTTGTTGGACGAAGTTGATTGTTATGACATGGATTTAGAACGTCCTAATGTTCTGATCGACCGAGGACTGCACATTCAATCAATTGGCAATGCGGATCTAAGAAGGGGGATATTGCTATTCCTAGCACGTGCAATGGATCCGGTGTCAAAGACAACCACTTTGAGATCTCTGTCGAACTTTCTAGACAATGAGATGTGTTCTCCATATAAAGAAGCCGGATATTCTGCGCGAAACGTCAATCTGATTCTATATGAAGCGGAGCAAGTGCTTGGTAACGGCGTTGAACGAGGTTATACGGAAGTTATTCAAACGTAACAAAGCTCTGAAAGACTTCGTTCTCCAATGAGATGCTGTACATATCAGGGACTTGACTTATCTCAAGAACCTTGCTATCTTTTTACTATACTGTCTTTTGTTGGCGTGTTGAGCTGGAATCCTCGATAACCCCGGACTGAGTCTCCCGGGTTTGCAAATCTTAGCTTGGATGGCTTGTCTGGGCCCTCCAATCCCTTTTTCTTGCAAGCATCCGCGAACTTCCGATCATTGTGGATCGGTGGCACGTCGCTGTCGCCAAATCTCAAGCCGTCGACCAACCGATCCGGGTTGTTATACGCGTCCATGAGAGTGCGCGTGGATTCGAAAGCCTTGATGTTCATCCTGCCTTCCTCCTGAAGGAAGGCCGCGAACGGATCATTTTCCTGCTCCCATGAGTGCATGTACGCCTTGCTGCTTTCGAGCATGTCAAGAAGCCTCTTCCCACTTGCGTACCAGTCCATGGCGCCTTGCACCAGAAATACCAATAGCTTTTCGGGCTCGGCCTTCAAGACGTCTTCCAATGCAAGGTCCCGGATGCCATGAAGTGGGTTGTCCGGATTGTAGCCCGCTTCATCCGGATAGAAAAAGCGCATTGGAAATACAAGCGTCAAGAGGCGTTGCTTGAGCGCTATCGTCCAGGTCTTCACCCGGGGAGGGTAGTTGGAGCAGAGAATGTGCTGCAGAGGGAATGAATCGTGCATAAGCATCCGCGTGCTTGACACTCATGAATACGGCAATTTTGTAAGGTGGTGAGTCGATGTCAACGTCCATTCTGTCTATTCATGGACGGCACAGACGGCTAGGACCCCAGAAATGGAAAGCCCTGAAAAATAAGTCTCGGCTCCAAAGACCTACAATCAAGGCTCCAGGGCAGCTGTGCTGTCGTCCAAGATGAATCTCATCTACCAAATGCTCTTCATGGACGGCACAGACGGCTAGGACAGCATAGCTGGAAAAAACCTTGGAATCTAATCTCGGCTTCAAGAACCTCGAATATCGAGGCTCCTGGACGGCTGTGCTGTCCGTCAAGACGACTCTCCATCTTCAAAACGCTCTTCATGGACGGCAAAGACGGCTAGGACAGCATAACTGGAAAAACCTTGGAATCTAATCTCGGCTTCAATAGAGACCTCAATTATCGAGATCCTTGGACAGCTGTGCTGTCCATCAAGTCGGATCTCCATCTACAAAAGGCTCTCTTCATGGACGGCACAAACGGCTAGGACAGCATAATTCGAAAAGCCCTTGGAATCTAATCTCGGCTTCGAAGACCTCAGGTATCGAGGCCCCTGGACGGCTGTGCTGTCCATCAAGACGAGTCTCCATCTACAAACACGCTCTTCATGGACGGCAAAGACGGCTACGACATCATAATCCGATAAGCCCTTGGAACCTAATCTCGACTTTCAAAGCCTCGGGTATCGAAGCCCCTGGACAGCTGTGCTGTTCATAAAGACGAAGAGTCTCCATCTACAACACTCTTCATGGACGGCAAAGACGGCCAGGACACTATGGTCGGACCTCTCTTAACATCTACAATTATTTGTGAGAAACCTTGCCGAAAATGCAACGACTTTTTAACGCTGGTGTTGTTCTTTGAAAAGGCTCCTTATTGAAAAAAGCTCTTGGCACAGAGAACCACAGCTTTTTAAGCACGGTTACGTTAGCTTTTTGCAGAAAAAAGGTACGGCTTTGCCAGCAGCAGACGTCGGTGACTTACCAGCTGAGTAGTGGCAAACGTGACGTAATCCGAGTAGAGCGCTCTACTCGTGATAGTTGCCTCTCCGGTCAGCCGCTTCACGTTGGCCTCTGAAAACTCATCCGTATCTTCCGTCTCCGCGCATTCAGCGAATCGTATGTTTCGTAAACCTGGAAAAAAAAATGCGTTTCAAACTTTCTGAATGTTGCACACATAATGGAAGTCATTCTCCAGGCACGACTTGTTGATAATCCTTCGAACATTCATCTTGCGATGAGCTTTGTACAAGAACTAGCTCCATCACTGCCAAGCGCTTGAAACAGTGGGCACGACTTGATATACATTTGTGCATAATATTTTTCAAGCGCAACACGAGATTTCGTCATCAAAGCCTCGCATCCTGGCACACAGGTTTGTGAACGTACGTTCCTCACCTGCTTCCGCCGGATTTGCAGCACCTTTTCCAAGCCGGCCGTTGCTCCTTGGACGTTACAAGCATGTCCTTCGAGACGTCCTTGTAGAACGGGCCAATCACTCGCTTCAGCATAGTCAATAAAAGGCTCTTTCCCGCTCCGCCCTCGCCGATCATCGTCAAAATGACCTGGTTTGACGTGTGCCCCGTGATGCCGTACCCAAGAATGCGCTGGAGATAAGCAAGTGCCTCCGGAGTGTGCGTGATCTGACGAAGAAACTCTCCTGTTCTGCCCAACGGCGTAGCAAGCCCGGTCGACGGCCACCAGACGGGGAGCTTGAAAGACCATAGATACTGCAAGACAACACATAAAAACAAAAGAATCGATACCAAATGCAATACAAGACTATAACTCTCAAGCATTTGCATCAACCAAGCAATCCAGATGCTTCGGGCCGTTGGTAAACGTTATTATGGTCAATAATACAAAGAAAGGCCACATGCTATTCGAACCTGTGGCAGGAACATAAAAAGAAGCACACTTGAGAACGATGGCAGTGTGCATGATTGCTGAAATTAAGACCAATGAAATGCTTTACTCAAGAAGAAGCGGCCCTGACAGGTCATTACAAGTCAGGCCAATTCGAATGGAGTTTCAAACAAAGTAAACCGCAGCCTTAAATACCCACCTTCGGATGGTGTGGCACCAGAATACCGCTCTTTAGCAGTACGACGCCGTTTTGAAGAGGAAGCGCATCCCTGTTGGTATTCAACGCTTCTTCACATGCCGGCTCCAAGCAATAACCTTTTAGTGTTGTCATAATCTGGCTCATCTTGGCGTTGAAGTTCAAGTTTGCAAGCTTCTCCTTTGTAGATTTCTTCTCCTCCTCCGCTTGCGAACTCTTGCCATCGGCATCCGACGCAATCTTCTTCTTCTCCTGCTTTTTTGTTTCCATCTCCATCTTATACGCCTTACTGATCTTATTGAGCTCTCCGCGGCAGATCTGGCTCGCAAGCCGTCCGTTTACGTCCACCGCCCAAACCGATCCGTCATAACAAAACCACTTTTCGTTGCAGAAAACGAGCTTGAACCCCGTGTACGTTTGCAAGCGGTCGATGATCAATGCCCCTCCTTCATCACCTGAAAAAACGTCTTCGACCTGTCATCGGCAACATTTGATTGGCGAGTGGCACCCTGACGTCTGTATTCACACGCGGCAAGACACTTTTCCTGGGAAGGGATTCGAGCAAGACTACTTGCAAGTCATGCATTTTGAGATCTTCGTTTCACAAACAGGCGCCGATCTCGATTTCCTTCAATTTCTTCTTCAAGAGTAACACAAGAGACGCATATTGGCTCAGGTCTGCATGATCGCAAAATTTCTGCTTTCAAGTTGTTGATGATGAAGCAGACCTCGTGCATCGGTGACTAGGCGCGCAGGCTTTGGCCATCAAATTTGAAACTCGCCTTCGAGATAGGCGTGTTCAACCTCTGGATTTTGCATTTGATGTTTGCCCAACTTGGACAAACTTCTAAATCTTTGACTTGATAGCAATTAGTGATGATGTTGGTCGAAGCGCAGCTACTTTGTCGAAACCGTTAGTTTTCGCCACAAAAATCGCAAAAGCAGAACTTGCAAGAGGTTGGTGATAGTCACCAGACCTCGGGCATCAGTGACAGGCGTAGCGTGCTGGCTTGGCCACCAAATTGGAAGTCGTCCACCAGTTGGACAACCTCTGGATTTTGCGATTTGATGTTCATTTCAGAAGCTGTACACTGGGAATACAGCTTCTGGGGCTTGTCACATTTGATAGCAACTAGTCGTGATGGTCTTTGAAGCGCGCCTCACCTGCCGAAACCGAAAGGTTCCGACGCAAAAACCAGAGGGGGAGCAGTTCTCGATTTTCGTATAATCGATCGCGGTCGCTGTTCAACGGAGAAGCGTCGGAAAAGGCTGCGGCCACCGGGAAGCGGAGACCCCCGAGTTTTTTGTTTCTCTTGCCGTCGCCAGTCTTGCACCGTTGGCTGTGGCATACGTAGGTGATTTCTGTTCCTCTTCTGAGCAGACCAAAGTTGTTGCTTTCTGTGCGGCTGCGCCCCCGCTTCTGCATACGGACACACCCGCCCTCCCACATCATTTCGCCAGTGGTACATCACGGCCCCTAAAACGGGAACCGTGCTCGGCTCCGCCTTGGAGAAGATAGAGGAATTGTCGCCAAAACTGCTGAGCATGCCTCGCATTGCCTTGACCACGTCTTGCTGCAGCTCAAGATCCAGTACATCCGGCGCCTCAAATTCCGCATTAGCTCTCGCGCTAGGCATGGGCGCAATGGAAAGCTCGGGTGGCCCTTTCGAGCGTTGCCTCGAACGCCTCGACACTCGCTCGTTGAGAATCTCGATCAACCAATTCGGGAGAGGGGGCAAATCTTTTGCTGGGGGGAGCTCGCCTCCGCCGACAACTGAATATCGTGCCGTCTCACCGAGTCGCTCATATCACGACCGGGGGCATGCGATCATGCCGTTTGAGCTAACACCCCTCATGTCGACTCCCACCTTCTTCAAAACCGCCTTTCCAGAGTCCGGGTCTCGGACTCTTAGCTCTAGCTTTGCAAAGTGGGTCGGTGTCTCTGCGCCCAGCCCCGACTCAAGGCTTCTCTGATGAGAGAAGTAGATGTGCACCCCCCCGCTGCCCGTACGCACTCGAGGAGCATCAAACGCGCCGTGCTCTATCTCCCAAATTGCTAGCTGCTCCATGCCCCCGTCACCGAGGTCAAAGTCCAGCACGAGGATACCAGACGCCGCCGTGTTGATCAGCAGCGTATTGTGATGGGGCTGGAAGAAGTGGTTGGTCAGGCAGTTGGCTAAGGTGGACGCCTGCCATTTTGTTGGGGGCTTCATTTCTTTCCGTCCCTTCCCTCCCTTTGCCTTGGAATCCCACTCGGTGTCTGCCGGGAACACGACATAGCCTTTTGCGACCAAGTCGCGAGCCGCAGCTCCCTGCACCAATTGCACACATCGTCAGTATCAAAAAGACACATAAGTCTGCAACCTAGTTGTGAGCCCACAACATAGGGTCGAGTTTAGCCCTACCAAGGCCAATGACGGACGCGAAGCCAAATCGAATATCATGAGCTACTTCCAAGGTGCTGTCCGAGCCGTCCAAGCTGTCCATGAAGACAGATTCGTAGTTGAGAGTTCCTCTAGATGGACAGCAGTCCCGTCCGCGGCCGGAATCAAGGCCGGAATCGGATTCGTGAGCTCCTGTCAAAGTGCTGTCTTTGCCGTCCAAACTGTCTATGAAGACGAATTCGTAGATGCAACTTTCGCTAGATGGACAGTATTGCCGTCCATGGCTGGGTTTAGGGTGTGAGAAATTTTGAAGAGTTGTCCAAGCTCTCCTTGCCATCCATGAGACATTCAAAAAATCGATATTCCTCTCTGTCTCACTGCTGTATGGATGCAATTAGCCTGAGGTAAGAGTCTGGATGAACAATAAACTACAACACCCGAAAGGTTCGTCCCAGCGAATGGTCTAGAAGGGACTTGGGGATTCCCAGGCTATGAGCCAAAAGTACCAGGCAGAGATAGCATACCTCATCATGAATTGCGTCTGAACTCCGAAAGGTCGGAACCTTGTAGGTTGCAAGCCAGATCGAGTACGACGTCAACCTCCCCATGGTTGTGAAGCTGAGACGAAGAATGAATAAGCTACATTCCAGAGAGCTGTCTAACCCGTCCAAGCAATTTATGGAGAAGAACCCATGATTGACAGCTTCTCTAGACGTACAGCAGTCTCGCTTGCAACCAACTTCGAGACTGTCCGAGCCGTCTATGCGGTTCATGAAGGAGAGTTTCACAAACAAATACCCTCTTGATGAATCCGTCCGTGGGTGGCCTCATCGAAATTGTGAGCTACATTTTGAAGTGCTGTCCCAGCCGTCCAAGCTGTCCAAGAAGACAGCTTTGTAACTGCGACTCCCTGTAGATGGACACGGCCTAGTCAATATCGTCAGCTATTCCGAAGTGCTGTCCATGAAGGGGAATCGAGTGAAGAGGGACGCTCCTTCAGTTGCACTCGAGTAAGCTCCAACACACCATTGCACTTGCTCCCCACTCTCTTTCTTGGTCCGCGAGACGGTGGTCCTGAGCAGAATCAACCGGCAGTGGACAGTCGTCTAGCATCTCCTTGTCCGATGCAGTCTCCTCGTTGTCCCTTTCAGAAATTAGGCGTCCGCACCTTCGCAATTGTCACTGCACTCTGATGAAGCCGAGTCGGAACTGCCCAGCCCCTGCATCCCAATGGTAATATTGCTGAGGCAGCCTGTCACGAAAGGCACGTGCTTTCCGAAGCCGAACAGGTAAATTGCAACGGGTTTTGTTTCTAAGGCATGCCATTACAGCAAGGTGGGTGTCGCATGGAATTTTCGCCACGGCTGACGGATTTTCTTCCTTAGGTGGGTTTAACGAGGCCCCTGGGAGCAACTTGACTGGAGATGGGCAGATTGTGTTTGTTTACGACAGGCCTACCCAATAAGTGGAGGTTATCGAATTGGAAGGTCCAGACCAGCGTACCTGGGCCAAGGATGAAGAAGGCTTCCAAGATTCTAAAGGCTTGTCGCGCGCAGAACACAGCTACTCCTGAAGTCGCTCATTAGAAGATATCTTACACATCCTCCTCAGCTCCAGAATTGTCTGAGACGGCGACGAATAGACACACGCAACGATGCCTCCTTACACAAGCATCCTCTGCCCCATCACTTTGATGTTGGCAGTCGAGTGTGCTCCTTCAACCCGACTTGCCGTCTGCTCGCTCATCGCCCCTCCTTCATTCTTTGATTCGCCACTATGCTTGCGTTTTCGGCCCCGGTCTGGCCCGCAACTTCCTGCATCAATCGCACACATTGTCACAGATCAGATCACACCGGATGATTGCCTTTTTCAAGGCCAACGACGGTGGCAAAGCCGAATCGAAATTGTGAGCTATTTCCGAAGTGCTGTCCGAGCCGTCCAAGCTGTCCACGAAGACAAATTCGTAGTTGAGAGTTCCCTTAGATGGACAGCAGTCCCGTCCGCGGCCGGCGAGGCCGGAATCGAAATTGTGAGCTCCTTTTAAAGTGCTGTCCAAGCCGTCCATGGAGACGAAACTGTAGTAGATGGCGTCTCTCCATGGACAGCACTGCTGTCAGCGCTTGGCAACATGGATGCATTCATTTCAAACCAATCTGACCTGAGGCGCTTCACTCCAATGGAAAAAGTAAAGCTCATCTCGAAGAACACCAAGCAAATGTTAAGAAAGATTACCCACCATCTGATCTGCTCGAAGCTCTCTTCTCTGGTCCGCACGACGATGAGCATGGGCAGTTTCAACTGATGGGAGGCGGTTGTCACTGTCTCCAGCAGAAGACGCTGCTCGTTGCGACGAGGCTTTGGAGTCCTGCATGAAGAATGTGCATGAAAGGTTGCCGCTTTTTGATTCCCAAAAGCTGGCACCAAAACGTTGCAGGAAGTGCCGGCCTGGATTACACAGCAGACCGCAAGAGCACGCTGAACCTGCTCGAACCTTCAAGCTATTCACCGTGACGCGGGTATAGCTTCAAAATTCTGAACGTTGTGGCCAGTGTCATGTTGAAAGCGACTTTTTGCAGTGAACCCCCACAAGGCTCACAAGGCAGACAAAACCATCGTCCATTAAGACGGCCATTCTATTCTGAGAAACAGCCTCCGTGGACTGCACGGACAGCCAAGACAACACTCTCGAAATCTCAAAGAATTTCAAACACTATCAACGATCATAGATTCTTAAGTCAGGACCATGGAGCCGGACAGCACTGCCGTCCAAGGAGACAAAAGTTATTTTAGAAAAGTGTCTCCATGGACAGCGTGGACAGCGTGGACAAGACTTTGCAAACTTCACAGAAAGCCACAATCCACTAAGTGAAACGAGATTCAAGTAAAAGTAGCTCGCTGGAACTTGAATCACCCAGAAGTAGGGATGCTTGAGGCGCCCGGCCTTCAAACAATTTGTAGCCAGTATTCGAGGCAGGAAAAACCTTAAAGCAGTGCAATCACCTACAAAGAAGGGACCCGGCTGGGTGGCAATGGGAGCAGTATTCTGCTTCACTGGGCCCCACATCGTGGACCAAGAAGCAAGCAGCACTTGGGGGACTGACCTTATCTACTGAACTCAAGACCCCATGACTGGCAGCGGTCTTCTCTAAAGTAGGCCCCCAGAAGATGAGTGTAGCAAAACACGTACCTACGCAATGGTTGCATGAGAAGAATGCACCATAGCCTGCCCAGGGTCTTTTTCACCACCTGTTCCCTGAAACTTCTCCTTCGACACGACACAATCTGGGAGCGCCGCAGCCTCTGATGCAGGGTGGTCGCCATTTACTAAGGCTCCATCTCCTCCATTCATGATTCCACTCAAATTGTTTGTCTAGTTTGCACAGGGTTCTTCTCAATGCTTTATCCGTTCCTCTGACAATGTTAAAAATCTGACCCTTAAGGAATATCGCTCACGGCGGAACTCTTCAATGCCTTCTCGCTTCTCATGCGGATGCAGACTGAAGATTGAAAACTTTGCCGCCCTAGACAGCTGGAAGACAAGGTCACAAAATTATCACTAGAGCGACTAGGCCCTTGGTGGCTAGCCCAACTAAAGTAGGATATTCAACCACTTTTTTGGAGAGTTGCGGGAAGTGCTGTCCGAGCCGTCCAAGCCGTCTACCTAGCGGAACTTGTAGATGGACTCGACACTCGATGGACACAGTGCTGTCTATGAAGACCTTGATCTGCGGGCTTGATATTCAGAATATTGAAGTTTTCAAGAACTCTGGGACTGCTGTCCAGGCCCTCCTGTGGTTTTTGGATCTTAAA